GATGATTTTTTTATTAAACGTGCACTACAAAAGGGTATCAAGGTTGGTGACCGCTTACCRGACAATGGCAAGTCACCATTACTTGAACAGAAGTCYAAACCAAAAGATTGTATTGATGACATGTTTGAAAGATTTGCTGCTAAAAATGGTATCAGGATTGGATCTTTAACACAGCAAAGTGCAACACCAGATATTKCAAATACAGCTCATGATTATGATGTTATAGCAACTACAAGTMCACTTCATTGTGATACAATTGTTCATCACAAAGTTGTTGATTCATACTGTAGACAACTACAAGGKGAAGTCAGGCATGGAGGTGTAAGCCCTTTTAAWTCCAACACAAGTCAACCAATGCCATTATTGTCTTACAATACGCCATTGCAAGTTGAAATCAGGCATGACATTGTAAGCCCTATTAATTCCAACACAACCAAACCTAGGGCATTAAATTTTGAAGAACTGGCAAGAAGAAATGGCATTATAGTTGGTCTAACAACGACAGATGTCCATTGCCAAACTGACAAGAGTTGCACAATCTCAAGACAATCMCAAACTGTTAATGTTGTTAAGGTGCAAAGTACATCTGTGCAAGTAGATGTTGACTCGGACGCATTTAAGGTTGAATTCAACGAATGGATGCAAGATGAGCTCAATTTAGTTGAYSCAYCAGCAGSTTCATTCAGAGAACTCTATTGCAACGAAATGAGTGCACGTACAGAAGCAGAAAAACGACTTGCTGTTGAGATGGATGAAAATGTTAAATCACAGAGAAACATGAAGATGCTTATAGATGAAATGAAGCAACAGTTGCTTGAYAAGGATAACACCATTGAGGTAAAGTTCAACAATGGTATTGTACTATGATGAATTGTAAAAGAATCAACAGAATTCAGTGAGCATGCACTCTTGTTCTAAATAAATGTAGTATGGTTACATTGGGGTCTTAGGGGAGTGTGCATCACCCACTATGGAATATTAATGCTTCAGATGCACTCAGCATTATGAAGTATCATTTAACATTTGTTATTTCCAACATCGTGCAGCATATTGTTGCATTCAGTGCGACATCAGTGCRCACAGCTGTCTACATCATGTTTGTACTGACTTTTACAGTACTATTCAGGTACATGAGCGGAGTCAGCCAAATATTTCAACAGCAAATTCAAGATTTTGGTGGATGTCAATCAATGCATATCCATGCAAATATTCATATTCTCAAAGTTGAGAACCAGCAGTCAACATGNTTTATCTTCAAGGCTTGAAAATTGTTTGAAAATATTAAGTTACCATGAATGTGGTAAAACTTTTCAAAAGTGAGTGGTATAGGTTTTTCAAAGATAAATACATGATAAAAGAATATTAGAAATATTGGTGAATCTTTCTGAGAAAGTTTTATGTGCAATAAGCCTTTTTCCTGTTCAATGGTAGTGACTGCAGTTTTAGTTGACAACAGACTCACTTGTGTAGAGGACTAAGCCTGTATTGCCACAAGATCTAGAGTTTGAGCCWTCTTGGAATACTGGCTTAGTCTCAAATCAGAGAAAATGCAAAATTATAAGGCTATTGTAATGACTTTGTGCTTTCTTTTGTTTTTGATAAGGTCTCTGCATGAGAGACTGTTGTCAACTAAAACAGTGGTCACTCACTTTGAACAGGAATATTGTGTATTCAAAAAAGAACACCTAAAATGTGCAGAAATATTAGAGCTGTTTTTTTACAGTACCATTTAGCTAAAGAATATATCTATAACAATGGAACAATGAATGTTCATCAATAACATTTACACAGCCATGGTTATAAATTAAACATTTAATGAGAGTTTATGCACTTTAGATACACTTTATGATCAATGGTCAAGACTTGAGACTGCAAGAACAACAAACTACCATAATGTAGTTGTCATCAATAATATTCATCGTAATTTTATCTTGTAAATTGCAATTATTTCCTTCCAAAAGCACAAACAAACGAAAAAATGATAGAAATTTAGTCATCATGAAATTAAGTCCTTAAAAATTAAAACTATAAGTGGAATCTAGATGAACAGGAACGACATCAATCTGTGGGTTTCTAAGCAGCCTAAAAACRTGTTACTTCAAAGTCTGCTGGTTTGTAAAGTTGAATACTACAAATCAATTTATATAAAATTGTTTCCTGTGATTGTTCTATGGCTGTTGAGGCACTTTTTACAGATTATRGGTAAATGCAGCTAAGGGTAGTTCATAGTCCTCCTGTTTGTTCTTGATATACTTCAATGACATCATCATCTTCCATTTCAAGCTAAACCAAAAAGCCAATGTATTAGTTTACTAATTCAGATATTTCTTCAAATGCATGATTTCCAAGATGTGTGTGCACCTTCCAAAGAAATCACAGTTATGAAATACAATATCATTTCAGATTTACAATACCCACAGGTACAGTACCGGTCTCGAGTAAAGTACCATCCACTCGCTCTATACTCGAGAGTGCGATTATCGAGTGACCATCGTTACTCGCGAGTCATGCATAATAAATTATTCATAAAAGCGAGTGTAATCGAGTAGCTTCCACTCGAAAGACTTTCGAGTGTCGAGTGTAGTTTTACAAACAATTTCTGTTGAAGTGARCRATTAATGAAAAGTCAAAATTTAAATTCTAATCGGTCGCTTTTATATTAGCGAATGATCGGCAAGATGTCAATTCAATGTCATATAAATTTAGGTTACACGACAATGTCACGCCGTCTCATCATACTGTCTCGTCATTCCGCTGTCTAGGCAGTGTTAAAGCACTTTGGGAAGCTTATTTGTTCTGTTTTCTTCCACAATTCAGTATTTTTTGTTATTATCAAAGCATATTTTATCAATTTCTGCAATATATCGTTATGTTCTTCAAACTCCGTAACAACCTATGATTAACTTTTCTAAAATGAAAGCATGAGAAACCGCTTTTATCTCTTACTGTTATCATGATCGTAGCTGATTAAAATATTTAGTTGTTTTGGCGACTAGCCAAAAGAGAACAAATTTGTTCAAACACTTATCCTGACAAAATTATGATTATACCTACTTCAGCTTTATGAAGGATAGTATAAACTTTAGTAGCTTAAAGAATCTTGTAAAAACAGTACGATTCGGTTGTTTTAATTTTTGATAGAATAATTTAAAGTAGATGAAACAGGTTCAAAAAGCCGTGTTGACCTGAGCGGCACGGGAAAGGCGAGATTAGTCTCAAAACACGCTTGGGAATATCTTCGTGTAGATTCACAGTTTGCTGGTGTTTAGTATGGTTTCTTATTCGTTCACTTTCGCTGTAACAGGTAATCATTAAAGGCCAGTTCATTTTTGCTTACAAGTGAAGCATACTAATAACCAAAGCAAAATTGTCATAGCCGCAATCAAACTATTTTGTAAACTTTCGCGTGAATTTGATTCCGTAATTTAAGTTCGAAGCGCTCCACTCGAAACACTCTAGAGTCTCGAGTCTCGAGTGAAAGCGAGTGGCATTGTTTTCGCTGCCTCATTAACTGTCATTGTTTCACTCTATACTCGAAACTCGCGGTCCGTATCGAGTTMGAGTACTCGWGAATGGATGGTACTTTACTCGAGACCGGTACTGTAGCCCACGCTCAATAATTGTGTTGATTTACTACCTAACAGTTATGTGTGACTTTATAAAACCTCTGATTCTTKCATCAAATGATAACAAAATGTGTTTTTTGAGAAGTCTGTGTTTCAGCAAATTTTGTTGAGTTAAATGGTAGCTTTCCCTCACCATAAAAAAATTGGATGAAACTAAGGCAGATGTTAAGTTAGTGTCTCAAAACCACAGCCTGAAAATTTCAAGGCATTTTATTACGAAGGTTTAATGAAGTCACATAAAACTGTAGGAACTCAACATAATTATTGATCTTGTGTTACCTAAACATTGATAGTTGGTAGTGGAAAATGATCAATTTAAAATTCTCATGGAAAAACCATCCAATTTTNNTTTCACGGGTTTATGAAAACCACTCTTACTAATGTTAATAATTATTATATCATCATGAATTTATTAGAAATTGACCAAAGACCTGAAGAGTACAAAGAAACAAAAGGACAATGAGATCAAGAGGCTCACCAARGATATCAAGCAAAAGGAAGAAGATATTTCTGAACTAAAGCATGCAAATCAGTTACAGGAGATTGCCATAGATGGTATTAATGATATATCTAAAGATCAGGCTGTAAGGATACAGGAATTAGAAAGCAAATTAAAAGAARTGGAAGATGCCATGGAAAAAGAAATAAAGAAAAATAGGTAATGCAATTCCTACCTATATATATGCTATTAGAATATATCAGAGGTCTGCATGCACCCATAAACCTTTTCTCTCAATTTTCTCTCAAACTTTTCCACCATCTTTGATTTGCAATTGAAATCAAACAGAAAACAACTTTTCACTACAGATCTTTTAAAAATGAAGCAAATGAATGCAGATTCATGGATGCAAGTGCAACTTTTAGTGTTGATATTTAAAAAACAAAACAAAACAAAAATGGCAAATTGAAATTGTTTGGCAGTTGATTACTACATGTGACATCAGAATTATACTTAAATTTGTTATATCTAAACATATTAAGTTCTGTCAAGTTACATGATAAAAAGTCAGTACTGATATTTTTAATGTTGTTCAGCAATTGCTGACACTTCATATGCATCACTCAAAAATAAGATTGCATTTTTTTGTTTTTTTTCCTTTCTCACCTTATATAACATTCAAGCAAATAATCATTTTTTTTCTTTATAGGGCATATACTCTAGAACCCAAAAATGTGGTTCGACCACAAGAGCCTGAGTGGCAGATCGTTAAAGGTAGAAGTTCAAAGAATAAAAAAGGTGTAAGATTACCTCAYCTATTAGACAGTCTTTCTTGTTTTGATGAAGATAATTTTAACTCAAACAATGGCAGCAGTTGTTCAGCTGAAAGTGTACATAATGGTTCTGAGAGTGGAGAAAGCCATCAAGGAACTRCTGCAAGAACACTCAGTCAAGGATCAGATGATTACAAGAGTTTCAAGYCATTAAATAAAACTGGCGAAGACAACAATGGAACTGCAGCTCCAGGRTTTCCTAACTACAATACTGCTGGAGTTTTGTCTTCTGTTGATACAGGGAACAGGTTTTGTCAACTAGATGAACCTATGCTACCGGCTTTTAGTAATCCCAGTGTTGCTTTACCTTCAAGTTCAACAGCAGCTATAAGCATAAGTGGAAATGTCCTTCCAACTGGTCCTCCACCAGGAACAGCTCCATTGCAGTCCTTCACTACTTGCATTACTACAGGAAACATGCCATTTGAAAGCTCTTTGCATTTCCTTATCAATAGTATACCCAGTCAGTTACATCCAATTGTTACCAATGCAAACCAGTATACCATGGGTCCAGTACCTACAAGCATGCCTCCTACCAAGAAAATCACTACCAAAACAGTCAGCAAATCAGCCAATAAATTCTCATCCTTTGATACTTTAATGGGAGCACTGAGAGACAGGTTTCCTGATTTTAGCAGGTAATTGTGTAATTGAAAGGCTAAGCATTGAAAGAACTGCCATTGCCTGACATCATTGCAGCAAATACCCTTGCACCACAATCTTGAGGTTCTGAAGTTTTGTTAGGATTTTGGGTTTTGATGCTACTTGGGGTGCAGTTGCAAACAATCARTCAACTTTAAATAGGGTATTTAAATGCAAAAATTCATCAGCAGACTGATTATATAATTAACAATTATCAATTAATAATTGGAGGGGGGTTATGTTGGRGAGGTCTTGTAATCTCAGTGTGATAATAGGGGGCTTGTGATATGATTWAAAAYATTTAAAAAATGTTGGGTTGGTTATATGTTTGCAGACAGATGTATAAAATTTTGCCAGACCCCTCATGAGCTAATARATTATAGCCCCCAAATAAAAATCTTTTATGTGTTTGTCCATATCTATTTTTTCAATTCATGYTATTAGATTCTGATGATTTATTATTTATTGAGCACACAACACTCTCCTTTTTTTTCCTTTCACTCTTCCATCTCTTAGCTTGGCTCCCGGTAATACCAAAATTCACAAACAATCCATCAATTTGGGATTGTGCAGAAATTAAATCATTATGCATGCTAGCTTGTATTTGATTTTCATTAAAAGGCCACARCTGATGGTTTATCTCAAGAAAGCTAAAGATTTATGCGGAACCAATGGTTTCAAAAGCAAAGAAATTTCAGAGATCGTATCAAAGGTTGCAGAAGTCATTGAGTCTGAGACATTTTGATTATTTTAAATTCAGGTAAGCATTTACAATATATTCGAAAAAATTATAAGGATTAAAAACAATGGGATCAGGAAAACAGATGGAATTTATTTGGTCATTGATGCTTTTATTTTGTCTTACATAATTATATTATTTTTTGTTTGTTTGCATCTAGATTATCCAGTTCATTACAATGCATCACTTGTCATGTCAAGGGAGCCATCCAACGTAGAGTACCAAAGAGATAAAGTAACAAAACAAAAACTTTTTTTCGAGTTTTTAAAATTGTTCTCCATATTTTGAAAGAGCAGCATTTNAAGGTTTAATGAAGTCACATAAAACTGTAGGAACTCAACATAATTATTGATCTTGTGTTACCTAAACATTGATAGTTGGTAGTGGAAAATGATCAATTTAAAATTCTCATGGAAAAACCATCCARTTTTTTTCAGAAGCATGATTTAGAARAAAAAWTTAGCACACATGTGCAGTACATTGCAAACAAAGACATGTGCAGATAGAAACTCTTACAAAACTTCATGTTATAAAACAATGTATTATACTGTAAGTTATGTTTACTTATACTCACTTGTTTAGGTGTTTGTTCATCATTTATTCTCTGTCCATCAAACAAGAATCGTAGGGATGACAGTGGTACTCCCTATATGCAATTTGATTYCATCAACTTACAATTTTTTACAAATCGCACATCATCAAATCYTAACTGGGGTTGGGGAGTCAAAATGTAGAGAACTTGCATATYMAGTATGAGCTACTTGGTTTCCTATACACTTTTCTSTGTCTGATATTTTCTTCAAAAATGAAATGGATTATCCCTTATGCTAGTAAATAGTACTGATTGGACAGTAGAAAAGAAAGGAATTTGCATATATTATATTCGAAGAAGTGCATTAATTTTGGTTTATAAATATGCACTAAATAATTAGTAACAATTTTAGAATATGTATTTCACAGACTTATGAACTGCACAGTACTGCATATAAATATAAGCTGCCGGCATGTCACGTGATTTCCTGTTTGACAAAAGAATGGCATATTTTCTTTGAATACCATTGATATACATGTAAAGAGCATATCACACTTAATGCACATATTGAATTAAACAAAATAACTTTACTGTTAGAATGATTGAAAGATTTTCGATTATATGTAAACAGTCTCTGATCTGTCATAAAATCATGACACCACGATGAAATAAAATACGTTTATTATAAGTTTAGTGAATATTCCTTACTTGTCTGTCGCAGTATGCCTGTTTGAGTTTCTTTAATTGTGTAGTTTTCTTAATTTTAAAATGTACTTCTGTATTATCCTGRAAAACAAAGAAATCCAGATTTGACCACATACAAAGATGAATGTTGCTTGAAGACACGTGCAAGAAGAAATCTCCCGCCAAATGTCAACCAAACTCAAATATAGGTATTTCAAACAAAAATCAAATCTTCTGGCTTAAAAAGCACTGAAGCAKCTACTTGGCTTAGCTTATATGGCGTAAAAGGATTCAAAGTCAAAAAGAGAATAGTGAAACGACTTTTTTCAACAAACTGCAAGGCCCTGCAAAGTTTGAGGGCAACGARCACCGATCAGAGTATCGAATTTATATTTACAACATCTCAAGCTAACATCATGTATAAAATGAGCTTAAACTGATGAATTAGAATTCATTCACGAGCTAGACCAAGCTAAAAGAAGRATTTAACCAGAGAAGCCTTCAGTCATATAAAAGAGTAAAACTGGCTGAAAGATGGAGCGAGCGATCAATGAAAAGAGCGAGACACTAACCTGACCCATCACTTTTAAATTGATGTGTTCGGATTCTGGTTTGACTTCCTATATGATGAAGAATTTGAATAGTCAWTAAAAAGTTGATGTATCACATACCCAAATCGTTCTAAAGTTATGTGGCAAACTTAAGAAAAATTACCTTATTTTCTTCCGACATGTTGTATACCTTGACCACCACTGCCTTAGAGAAACCGAGAAAAAGCCGCTCTTTCTCAACTTGCAGAGTATGATGGGAATGTCTTACAAATGCATTCTGGGAAAAGTGGGTGCAGACAGTTTTTCTATTAAAATTTGTCAAAAATTACTTTCAGTCTATAAATAATAAGTTTTTATTCGAAATTTAGCATTTAATGTTTTCACCTAACATTTTGTAGCARTTTTTATGCAAAAAAAGGACATAAAATACATGAATGCATGTGCCTTCAGTCGTCTCTGAACAGCGGTATTTCAAAATGGCCGACAGCACTAACCCTCATAACTCTTCAAAATGTCCTCGTACTTTAACTGACGACGAAAGGAGCAAATTAGATAAGGATACTACTATGATATCTGACTTCAAAAGAGAAAAGCTAGAGAAAGAAGCGATAAAAAATTGGGATTTATTTTACAAGAGAAATTCAGCCAACTTCTTTAAGGATCGACATTGGACGACACGAGAATTTCAAGAACTTTTATGTGATCAAAATCAGGTTAGATTCTTAACCATCAACGGCTATTAGAAACAGAATGCAATTCTTGACGGTATTGGAACATGCGGGTGGTGATTTGCGAATTGTTCATAACGTGACTAGACGCTCTAGGTTCTGCTTGAAAAATCTACCAGCGATCATCAATAAAGATTATTAGTTAAATTTCAGTATATCCATAAAATTTGTTATATTTTTTAAGTTACATATAAGTTTGTTGGTCAAGGCTGAGTTTTCAGCTTTACAAAGTTTTGCAGCATCAATCATAGAAGATCTGGGAATACTGTGAAGGCTTTGATGATAAACAATTAACCCTTATCTTCCTACTTTTGTTAGTCTTAGAAATCGTGTTGGTTTGCTACTGTGCTCTCACTAGTACGAGTACAACGTATTAGTGTATAATTCTCAAAAACTCTACATAACAAGATCTTGTATTATCAGCATCTGCATCATTGTTTATGTTGTAGTTCAGGTTCAATATAACATGTCAACATCTATTTCTGGATTTTTGGACTTTAATACTATTAAAGGAATTCATGTCTTATACATTAATTATTATTCTAAAATGGTTCTAAAYATGAGAATAAATTAATGAATGGATAGATAAATTGAAATATAAGAATGAGGAAAAAACAAAAGTATATTTGACTGATGTTTTACTTTTTATTAAGCCAGATCAGAAGACAGTCAAGGTCATACTTGAAGCAGGTTGTGGTGTTGGTAATTTCTTTTATCCACTTCTTGAAGARGGTTACAATCTATATATCAATGCTTGTGATTGCTCACCAAGAGCTGTACAGTTTGTTAAGGTAACTTTAGATTTTTAGCAAATAGTTTGAATGTAAAAAAATTACGCCATTCCATGCAAAAAACACATTGCATGGATTTGAGTTACCTTTTTTTATGATGTGAGGGTATAGTGCCAATGCTGCAATCATTAGAGAGAAGAGTAATGTTTATAGTCTTTTAGTTATGCAAAAAACAACGAGGTAACTACATGTAATAATTAGAGCGAATTTCGTATGAGTGGGAAACGGATGGTACTGTACTGTGACCGTAATCGTACTGTAACCAAATTCTAGTGCCCTATTGGTTCACCAAAATTGTGCAGGCCAGGTGCGGTAACTGTACGGTAACGGTGTCCCACTCATTCGAAATCCGCTCTATTAGAAATACTTTGATATTGTGTAGTTTATAATACTATTGTATCTAACCCTAACATCTCATATGTTCTAACTCCAGGATCATTCCTTGTACAATCCCAGTCAAGTCAATGCCTTTTGTTGCAACCTTACACAAGACCAACTTACAGATAATATCCAAGAAAGCAGTGTAGATATAGCAACTTTAATATTCGTTCTTTCAGCTATTCGACCAGACAAAATGTTGAAAGTTCTTCAAAATATTTT